CGGGTTGGCTTCCCCAAAAGACATAGGGAATGACGAAGAGAACCGACTATCCGGAGAACATTGCTTCGTCTGCTGTGAAACCTTCACAAGCAATTTTGATCAATAGCCAGCGTCTTGTACTCTTAAAATCGTAAAGTCGAAATACTAGGGTAAGGACTACAGTGAGCGAGTTGAGTGGTTTTTATGCTGAAGGTATGATTTCTATGCCATTCGAATAAACGCTTAACTTGAGTGGTTAACCATCTACTACCCCATCTAGGAAGAAACGGATACTCGCTTAAAGTAGCGGATGGGCCGTTATTGGGGTGCACTACACGTGGCTTCAGTATGCTGTTGGAGAGAATTTCAGTCGTTAGTACAGAAAAGCAGGAGGTGGTCATTCCTGGTTTGCCAGTCAAAAGTCAATTAAAAGAAATTCAATAGTTGGCTGAGGAGGCCCGATGTTTGGAACCAGTTCGGCTGGTCACCGACCAAATGATTCAAAAATTTGATCAAATGTGGTTATTTAACCCCACCTGAAGTGAACATATCTCAGCCACCTGTTATATGAGATCGGTGGTGATGGGGGGTTTTTAGGGGTGGGGCTGGGAAACGCGCAGACGACGAGGTCAAGTAATTGTATACAAAAGAAAAGCTATTGGGAAAGCGCGATTGTACTTTGAGTGGTTGAGAAATAGTCGCCCTGACCCCCAACCCTAACCTTTAACTCCTGAAACTAACTCCTGAGCCTAACCCCTAACCTTATTCCCTAACCCTAATCATAACCCCAACCCCGACAGCGTTGTACCCATCAGGTGGGGATACATAACCACATCTTACCAAAAATTCCACCGTTCGAACCACATGTTCACATTCCCTCGGTCGTGATCGGGGATGACCAAGGATTGTAAAAGGCTGTATAAGTACTCTGTACGAGGATGGGGACAAGTACACGAGTTAGTATTTGGAGACCCCTAACTTTCAACTCCAAACAGTAAACAGACGAGACAATCTCGCTTGTTTGAATTCCCAGGGTTTATCTCCTTAACACACTCTTATTGTCCTCATGAATGCCTACGATGTTGCATCACTGTAGGTGCCTTCGGCAGCATCACATTTCTTTGATTAACTCTACATCCCCAACTTAGGAATTTATACTTATCCGGAATTACTGACAATTAGAAAAGGAATGACCGTCTGTCTGTATCTTACACGTACTCTTGATGCACTTGCGGCGGGCATTGTGCCCTCTCGAGAGTAGTATTAGGACGAAGAGGCACTCACTCACGTCAACTGGGTGCCGAGATGTCCTTCCTGTCGCCAAACCAGACAACTGCCCTGGATAGACACCGGGACTAAAAATCGATGCCATGGCGTGTGCACCTTTGTCGACTGT